TGAACATGAAAAATTTATCAGTGAAGTGAATTAAATAGTGTATTAATATATATCTACATATAATTCCATGTAAAGATAATTTGTGGCCAAGAAATTGTTCTATACATACATGTAAATTAATACACAGGTAAACTCATATACACACCATCTCCTTGACCTGAAAGACAGTAATGTCAACCATCTGAAACATCACAATCAATCAGGAGAGAAGCAATTATGATTTTCATCTATTCCAATAAATGTCATAAAATCTATGTACTTTATTTCAATTCGATTTTCATTTTACCTACATTTATTTTAGCCACAACTCTAATAAACTTGATTATATGATTTAAAGCATATTAAAAGCAGAATCTTGAAGATGATTATGAAAGAATGCTATAACCAGCAGATACAACCTGTCAATTAGCATAGGAATTTGACTCTAATTAATATTAGGGCTTATACTCCTAAATGACCTTGAAAATCTGAGAGCCCATTAAAAAGAACTGATGTTCAAATGATGATCCCATGTCATCAAGGAAAGGTTACATTATCTTCAGCTTCCTTTGCTTCAAAAGAAAATCAATGAAAAGTTTAAAATGATTTTAGGAAAATTTGAATTCAAAGGACTGACATTTAAACAAAGTTCTTGTTGCTTTAATTTATAACTATCTTGTCATCGGCGTCACTAGTAAAAGCAGCAGCCGCAGCAGTATCATAATTTCTATGACTCTTTTAAAGCATCTATTTGCAAGTATGCTGGAAGCTACTTCTCATTTTAACTGAATTAATCCAGCAACAACCTTAGATAGATATTGTTACACCTATTTTCAGATAAAAATCAAGTTTAGAAAAAAATAAGAAGGAAAAAATGAAGGAAAGAGGTGACTTGCCTAAGTTCTCTTATAGCTTCTGCAGTACCTTTGTTTTTTTTTAAATTTTTTAACTTCTAATTTTTGTGGGTACATAGTGGGTGTATGTATTTATGGGGTATGTGAAATGTTTTGATACAGGCAGGCAATGTAAAATAATCACATTACTGAACATGGTGTATCCATCCCCTCAAGCATTTATCCTTTATGTAACAATCCAATTATACCCTCTTATTTTATAATTCTATTATTATTGATTATTGTTGCCCCGTTGTGCTGTTAAACACTAAGCCTCATTCATCCATTCTAACTACTTTTTATACCCGTTACCCCTCCCCAACTCCCCCTCACCACCTTTCCCAGTCATTGGTAACTATCTTTCTACTCTCGATCTCCATAGGTTCGATTGTTTTGATTTTTAGATCCCACAAATAAATGAAAACAGGCAATGTTTGTCTTTGTGCCTGGATTATTTCACTTGATATAATGAACTCCAGTTTCATCCATCTTATTGCAAATACATGGGCCTCATTCTTGCTTGCAGCTGAGCAGTACTCCTTGTGTATAAGCACCACGTTTCCTTTATCCTGCAGTTAATTTGAATGTGTGTTTACTTTCTGAGCGTATGCTTGCTCCTTTTCTCACTCCTTCCTCTAAAGTAGTTTCCTTCACATCTCTAGGTTCAAGGAACATACCTATTCAGAGAACATACACATTTGTTTTTCTATTCAAGACGACTCCTCTAAACTCCAGATTCATAGGTCTGATGCGTATTGAAATCTCCCGAATGTCTCTTTATGGCACCTCAAAGTCAGTGTATCTCAAACTGAACTCCATTAACTCCTGGTTCTCTCCCAGTGTCCCTTATCTCAGTGACTGGCATCAACATCCATTCTGTTACACAAAGCAGCAGATCAGGAGTCAGTCCAGAGAGTCCTGATAATTCCCCAGTCCTCAGATTTCTTAACCAACCCACCACCAAGTTACATCAGATAGTACCTCCTTAATATATCCTCTTCACCTTCACCACCACCACCTCTCACAGCCAAAGCTGCCATAATCAATTCCTTGCTCAACTATAATTGCCTATTCACTGGTATACCTTTTCCTCTCTCATCTCCTTGAGGCTTATGATTTTACTAGAGTGATCTTTTCTTAAAACGTTTTCAATCATGTCACATCTTAAAGCATATTTAATCATGTCATATGTCTGATTAAACAAACCTTCCCACTGTTCTTAGGATAAAGGCAAAACATGTACTCATAGCCTACAAGGCCCTGAATAATGATGGCTCTGCCTACTTCTCTAGTCTTATTTCTCACCACACTCTTTCTCTACCTTTGTTCTCAAGCTGCATGGTTCTTCTTGTAGTCCCTTTTCTTTATCTGGCTATTTTTCACCACAGGACATTTTTCTTAATGTGGCAAGCATCTACAGGTTTTGATCTACTTACAACCTATGCAACTTACGACCATTCGACTTTACGACCACAATTGCTAGCCATGACTGCTCCGCGTCTGGCAGCGCAAACGTTGCCCAGCTGGGCGTACAACAGTGCGGACCAACTTCCAGCAGCACTACCATCTCCGTGTGCACCATTTCAACTGTACATATAGCCTACTCAACTTACGACCAAATTGTGTTACGACCAGTCTGCGGTCCCGACCGTGGTCGTAAGTCGAGCACTAGCTGTATCAATTTTCTTTATCGGGTTAACATTTGTCTTTCTTTAATTTCAACATAGTGCTCGTTTTCTCATGGAAGCCTTCCTTGATCTCCTTGACTAGGTCGAATTCCCTGTCCGGACTTTTATGGTACCACATACTCTTTTTTTGTTTCACTTGCCCCATTGGAAATTTTACATTTATTTGTATGATTATTTTACGTATGTCACTCCTGTTAGGTTGTAAGACTTATGAAAAAGGGACATTCTGTTGTTACTCACCATTGCGAACTGTGCCTCTGATACTACCTAACTCATCATAGAAAGTGCTCAATACTAAATGTTGTTGAAGGAACCAAACTCTGAGAGTGCTACACTACTTATTTTAAAAACTTTGTTCCCTGCATACTCCGAAGTGGAAGGTTCAATGACTGTGCATACCGGACTATAGAGCAGGTAATGGCCATGAATTGTTAAGAGGATTGTTCATCTCAATGAGGTACTAGGATAAAAAGCTATAGAGAAGGCAAGGAAATGAGAATCTCATCTGCTGGCATCACAGCCATACCTCAGTGTCCAAGGGGGGAATGGTTCCAGGACCGTGAGAGGGTACCAAAATCTGCTCATACTGATGTTCTGCAATTGGCCCTGTGGAACTTGTGAGCAGGAAAAGTCAGCCCTCCCCAGAAAACTGTATTTTCAATCTGCACTTTGTTACCAATTCAGGACTCATCGATTTGGAGAACCAACTATATTTATTTTAAGAAATCTGTGTATAAGCGGATCATTGCAATTCAAACCCTAAGTTGTTCAAGGATCAACTGTATATATGTCTTCCTTTCTTTAATTTCCAATCCATTTTTAACATCGGTTTCCAAATCAGCTACTTAAGAGAACATGTGCCTTTTTTTGGCTGCTTTCTCAAAACATCATGTTTCAATTGAGAAACAGAGGAGAATTAAAGGCATCCAAAGGCTCAACGTCTGGCTTTGATTAGATTATCCCTCATTGTTCCATAAATAGTTATTTGAAAGCATAACAAGCAAGCAAATTAAAAATAAATAAAACCGAAAAATAACTCTTTAAAGGCATAGATTTGTCCAAACAAAATTGGTTAAATAAAAAACTGTAAAAATCAACTCAACTCTGATATTCATGTAAATCTGTGAAACTTGTTTTTGTCTGAGGACATAAACAAAAGTACCTATTTTAATTCAGAGTAAAGTCTATGACAAGCGTGTTTTTCTTATATTTACAAATGCTAGCAAGTCACAGCTTGAGTGGATGGTAATGGAGAGCATGCCAAGTGAATTGGCATAAATTTAATAATTTAAAGCAAAGATGATTAGGTTGGTTTAGAATATTGAGTCAATTATTTAAGAAAATTTGCAAATTGTAGTCAAAGTGGCAAAAACGACTAGAGATCTGTTTCATTACTCCAACGTACTAATTCAGTAACTTTTAAATGTTTTTCAAATGGCTTATGCAAACGTGAAAAACATTCCAATTCATGTCTCTTGTGAGTTCTAAACAATGCAACTACTGAAGCCTCAGCTCTAAATTTTCTTTATGTGATTGTAAGTTTATAGAGGAGGCCTGAAACACTCATCATTTAAAGTTATCCATACATTCTGTTTTCTGTGTTTATAGAAAGATATTGTATTGTTGTGGATGTTCCTGTGGACACAAGCTAGACAGGAGGGGCCCACTAAACCTCTGGCTTGTGAACTTGGAGAATGTGGGGAACACTTGTCATGTCAAGAGAGCGGATTAAATGAGATATCAGTGGAAAAAATATCTGGCATGTACTAAGGATTCAATAAATATTAGCTTCTTTTAAATATTAGTCTTGAGAAATTATATATTAAAATGTGGAGGACCAGGTGAGGTGGCTCACGCCTATAATGTCAGCACTTTGGGAGGCTAAGGTAGGCAGATCACTTGAGGTCTGAAGTCTGAGATCAGCCTGGCCAACATGGTGAAACCCCATTTCTACTTAAAAAATTTAGCCAGGTGTGGTCATGGGTGCCTGTAATTCCAGCTACTTGGGAGAGTGAGGCAGGATAATTGCTTGAACCCAGGAAGCAGAGGTTGCAGTCAGCTGAGATTGTGTCATTGTACTCCAGCCTGGGTGACAGAGTGAGACTCCGTCTCAAAAAAAAAAAAAGTGGAATAAATATGAACTTATTTTGTGTATAATTATGAGTCAACATTAAAAGCAACATTTCACAGGAGTCAACCAAAAATATTTTCCAAATGAACACACAAAGTATTTTTATCACTGTAATCAATTCATTTCTGTTATGCAAAGAAAAACTATTTTTCATTAAAATTATTTTTCATAATAAAGTGCTGCAGTTAGAGCAATCATCCCTCAGTCTCCATTTATTTGTCTTGTAACAAAACACTGATTCTCCTGAAGAACAGGAAAAAAATTATATAAGGAGGCATAAAGGAAGGAAGAAAGAAAAAGTATGAGGTGTTAGGTAATTGTCTTCCTCGTTCATTCATTGTTTTTTCTCCCAGATATCAATTCTTAATTTTAAGCCAGAGATATTCTGTTTTTCATATTTGTGAAGAGAGAAAAGAAAAATAAAATTATTTCTACGGTATCAAAGGTGTCCTGATTCTAAAAAAGGCCATCATGACTTCCTCTTTGGTGTGTATCATATTTCAAAACAAAACAATCATTATTATGTTGAATCTTCTGTTATCCCCTGCTTTAAGACCTCAAATTGACTTCATATATATGCATTTGTACACGTGAAAATACACTTTAAACTTTTCAATATAAGTCAATGTCAACACTATTATTTTTTGCTGTATGTACCTCAAAATTAATACTGAAACGTAACATTCTGTTTACTGCCCCTCTGCTGCTCAGTGTTTTACTTGCTAAAAAAAAGAAAAAAAAAAAAACTACTAAAGACATAGAAATGAAGAAAAAGGAAGCAGAGAAATAAAAGAATAAGTGTTAAGCTTTCTCTCTCTCTCGTGTGTGCTTGTGTGTGTGTGTGTGTGTGTGTGTAGTTAGAATTTGATTCAGCTATAAAGGAGAATAAGAAAATCATAGAAAGAAACAAAACCTCAAACATTTGACTGCCAAATCTACATTTTAAGGTTATGTGTTTGGATCTGTGCCCCACCAAATCTCATGATCAACTGTAATCCCGTGTTGGAGGTGGGGCCTGGTGGGATTCATGATTGGATTTTGGCAGCAGTTTCTCATGAATAGCTCATCATCCCCTTGGTGCTGTTCTCATGATTATGAGTGAGTGAGTTATCGCGAGATCTGGTTGTTTAAAAGTGTGTAGCATCTCCCCACTATCTCTCTTCCTTCTACTCTAGCCATGTAACATGTGCCTGCTTCCCCTTTGCATTCCACCATGGTTTTAAGTTTCCTGAGGCTTCCCCAGAAACAGAAACTGCTGTGCTTCCTGTGCAGCTTGCAGGACTGAGCCAATTAAACTTCTTTTCTTTACATATTATCCTATCTCAGGTATTTATAGCAATGCTAGAACGGAAAAATACCCAGGGCCAGAAATTCTTCAAGTCTATAAATGAGTGTAATCCTATATTTAAACATGAGTATTGAAATAGAGTTTTGTTGAATTTCAGTATGTGTTTATTTTAAATAAAATGAAGTCACATATCTTCTTATTTTCTTTACCCATATATTGAAAATGTTACGGCTTCCTTTCTAACCATTTATTATCCATAATAATAGTATAACTCTGATTAAATTAGTGTAGGGCTCAGATTGCAGGCGACAGCTGTTATCTCAGATTGCCACTGGTGATATGATCCGGCTTATTGATTACTCAGGAATACTGCTCATACACCTGTACTTCTTAAACATCTATAGTAGCCCAACGGTCACTATATAATTGAACCATTCTTGACACTTAGCTTTTTTCTGCCTCTGCTTCACTCTGTGTTTGGATCTACCGTCCTTCTATCTTGCGATTTCTGCTTAATCATGGCTTTACTGCCTCGCAGCATCTACCTACCCTCTTCCTGAGTATTTTTCAGTTTCTGTGATATTCATATGCCTGTACCTGTGCCTATATGTCCTTGAAATTAGAAGCACTTAGGAAAACATTTGCTTTGCTTACATTGTATAGGACCATAATAACAGGTAAGGAATTTGATATTTATTTGCATTAATTAAGTTAATGCAACTCTTGCTAGAAACTGAATTCCTGGCTGTCAGTTCCATTGCATTTGACATCCTGGTATATACACCACCCTCCCTAATTTTACTAAGTCTACACTTAGCAAATTGTCTATACTCAGTAAAACTAAGATAATTTAGGTTGATGGAAATGATAATAATAAATTACATTGGTGGTGGTTCACTCTAACTTGGAGAGAAAAAGTAAACAAACTAATATATAAATGAAACAATTATTTTATAAAGCTTTAGAGAGCCTAAGCCTGTAATTCTATATTTACTGGTAATTGCAAATCTGTAAAAATGAATTAAAAGTTATGGAGAAGTCCAATAACAAATAAAACAATCTTCTGTAGAAGAAATGCTGAACAATTACAATTTGTTGCCTGAAAAGGTAAAAGTTATGTTCATAAAAAATGGAACAGGGCAAACATGAATATAGATTATTTGCCAAATCCCAGAAATACAACTTGTTCAAATGATGTTACTCAATAGTGGATACAGATTAGAAACATATGTAAGTTGAAAAAGGCTTTGGTAATTTTCTGGAAGGTAAAATTATTGAAGATGATGCAAGGATGTTTGAAATATATGTACATATACACACACACACACACACACACACACATAGACATATAGTAAATTTCTGATTTTGTTTCTGAAAACATTTTTCTAAATATAAAAATACACATTGTCATTGTAAGAAATATAAAAATGTTGAAAATAAACACAGAATGAAATTAAAACAACCCACTCTCAAGGGAAATTACTTCCAGGCATATATGCACGCACACGCACACACACGCACACACACACACATTCACACATATATAGGAAATTACGTATATAATTTTGAATCTGTTTTAAAAATTCAATGTGACATAATTTTTCTGCTATCAAAACGTACTCCTTATATATTTAATCTCACCATATTTCAATAATGTGTAAATTTTTGATAAATTTCATAGTTTTTGATTATAAAACTAACTTTTTAATTGTTATTGTTATCGATTTATATTTTGTGAGAATCATTTATTTATAAAATTATTCCCATTTTCTACTGGGATCATCGATAATTTTATGGGATATTATAGTTTTAGATCACAGAATAAAAATTTGACCTCTCATAAATAAACTTTGGACCACTGAAACAACTCTGCACTGAAAAGATGGTGTAGGATAAAACCTGCTGAAGGAAGTAATACACACAAACAAACACACACACACACACACACACACACACACACACACAAATACATGCTGTATTAGTCAGGGTTCTCTAGAGGCTAAACAGAACCAATAGTATATATGCATACATACAGAAAGAGATTTATTATGAAAGATTAGCTCACTTGATCATCGAAGCCAAGAAGGCCAATGATCTGCTATCTGAAAGCTAGGGGCTCAGGAAAGATGGTGATATAATTCTAGTCTTAGCAGGGGAGTCAATGGTGTAAGTCCCAGTTCAAACCTGACGGCCCAAGAACATGGAGCATGAATTAAGTGATACCCATCTTCATAGGTGAGAGCAGTCTTCTCTATTCAGTCTACTGATTCAAATGTTAATATATTCTGGAAACACTCTCACAGACACATCAAAAAATAGTGTTTTACTAGCTATCTGGTCAACCATTTAGTCCAGTCAAGTTGCCACGTGAAATTAACAATCACACATGTGCATGTGATGCACACAGACACACACTCCCATAACTAATATTTAAGAAAACAGAAAAGACAACTTCTCTGACTCACTGTTGTAATATATTTCAGTCATCAAAGCTACCTTCAGTGTCAACTTCCTTCCAGGTAATTTTACCTGGAAGGTACCTGTTGGTACCCTGTTCACATTACCTTACTTTTTTGAAGCTTCCCCCATCCGCTATGGCTTTCTGTGTCTCTCTCTGCATGAAAGTTTCATCTATCCTTTGAGCCTGGTTGGTAGATACAAAGGAGTTGGGCCAGAAATGTCAGGGAGTTAATGCTCCATGAGTAACCTTCAGGCAACGAGAAACAAGAGCTAGTGTATAACATTCCATCTTCCTCTCTGCTTAGTGAGAAAATTCTGTTTTGTCTTTTACACTGTTTCAGAGGGTCCCTCGTGCAGAACTTCTCACAGACAATGAGTAACTCCATTCATTAATGCATTCTTTTTTGGTCCTCTTCTCTTCTGTACTCTCTCATTGTACTTTCCTCAAATAAACTACCTGCACCCAAAATCTAGTCTAAGAGCCTGCTTTTGCAAGACCCAAATTAAGAGAGACTTAAATAATAAAAGATGGTTCATTTTAAGAATAGGTCTTCAGAGAGAACTGGATGTTTTAGACCATCAAATTTAATGCAAAAAGAACTGCCCGTGGCTTTATTATTGTTGTTTTTTTATCGTTGTTTTTACCAGGACTTTTTTTTCCGTGGCTCACCCCTCTCCTGATGCTGATGTAATGATGCAGCCTTGTCTTTAGGACAGAGACCTGAAATAGGAATTTGCAGATGCACATTTGTCCTGACTCCACTGCCTAAATTTTCAGCCTCCGTTTCATCGCCTATAGAATAGGTCTAAAATGCTTGCTTTGCCAGCCTTCTAAGCTTTACGCAAGACTTAAATTACATTCTTTTGGAAAGAGTATTTGCTGTGCAGTAGTTTAGGAGATGACAAGAACTGATACCAAGTTTATGTTTGAGCTTTAATTTCCAACTCACGCTTCCTTTGCTCGTGCCTTGTGCAATGTGCTTGTGCATTTGATAACTTTACCTAACATGCTTTAGAGTACCATGTGTCGAACTTCAGGACTTGGACTTTATCAACGTTATTTATATTCAGCTATAGATGCACAAGAGATCAACCGTTAGCAATCACTGGTTAACTGGTGCTGAGAGAAAAGTACAGTTTGTGTTTTCCTCATGGACCTCTTTGCAGCAGTAAGAGCTTCAGCTACAGTTCTCCTATTAAGGAACCTGTCTAAAACCAGAATTCTTCTTATAATACCTGATCAATCAGGAAGTTCAAAGCACACAGTTCTTCGACTTAAGAGCAGCTGGGGGAAGGGCTCCGTGACCACACCATTGTGGAGCCGGAAATTATTGCTTCCTCTAGAAGCAGCCATCTGGAATCACTATTACTAAAGCAGAGAGATCCGATTGCAAGTGTACATTTGTCAGGGAAACTCCTGACAGCTTTTAAAGGAGACTCTCTTCTATGGCGCCAAGGTCTGGCCTGGTTTACCTGTGGAAAATAAGTCAGATACAAAGGCATGCTCTCTACCACAGAAACAAAACGGAAGAAGAAGTGGAAATAAAACAGATCTTTTTTTTTATTATTCAAATTGTTTTTATATAGAATAATATGATTACCATTTTTTAAAGATTACATAATATGGTTTTCTTCCATAGCAGAGAGGGAGCAATCAAGCTCAAATTACAAAGCGAGGAAAAAGATGAAAGTTTAGAAAGGCTTAGAACTTTGCTAACGTACAGACAGAAGCTGAGGAAGGCTGAATTACAGGAAATAATGATTACTATTTGTGCTCTCTTTCATAGTTTCCACTTTGGTTAAACTAACTGGAAGGAAACAAATGATTAGGTTACTTGTGTCATCACTTACATCAGTCGTTTTATTTTGGAAAAAGAAAATCATTAACCTTTCTCATTCAAGGAGAATAGGAATCATTGCTGTATCTTATTCTATGTCACAAGCTAAATAGTTTCCTTGCAAAGATAGGGGACTATTGAAATAAGCATAATAGTTTAATCATAGAGGTGGTTGTGAATTTTTGCTTTGGAGACCAGAGGTTATAGAGCACAGTAAATAAAATATCATCTTTGGAACTCTGTCTTCATTCCCAGCTTTGTTCCTCTCTGTCCCCTGTATGAATGCTCACAGCATCATAAAGATTCTCATTACAAATGAATAAGCTTTTTTTTTTTTTTTTTGAGACGGAGTTTCGCTCAAGTTACCCAGGCTGGAGTGCAATGGCGCGATCTCGGCTCACTGCAACCTCCGCCTCCTGGGTCCAGGCAATTCTCCTGCCTCAGCCTCCTGAGTACCTGGGATTACAGGCACGTGCCCCCATGCCCAGCTAATTTTTTGTATTTTTAGTAGAGACGGGGTTTCACCATGTTGACCAGGATGGTCTTGATCTCTTGACCTCTTGATCCACCCGCCTCGGCCTCCCAAAGTGCTGGGATTACAGGCTTGAGCCACCACGCCTGGCACAAATGAATAATCTTTTATACAGCATGTTTTTCCTCATGAATTATACTGATCATTTCAAAGAGTGCCCTGATGAAGCCCTTTTTAAAAACAAACAAAAATAGTGTTGAGTATCTGCCATGTGCTAAGCATTGGGCTGGGTATCACATCCATTCAGTTACATTCATGTAAATTAGTGGTTATTACCTGGTTTCCTTTTCCCTTCTGCTCCTGTCCCACTTAGAGTATGCAGACAAACCTTAGCTCTTAACTGTGGCATCTCTATTGTTTAACTTTATCTAGGTTGAGTGTTGTGGCTTATGCCTGCAACCCCAGAACTTTGGGGGGGTGAGGTGGGCAGATGGCTTGAGATCAACAGTTCCAGACCAGCCTGGGCAGCATAGTAAGATCTCATCTCCACAAATAAGTTCAAAAATTAGCCAGGTATGGTGGTACATGCCTCTATTTCCAGCTATTCAGGAGGATGAGGTAGGAGGATCACTTGAGCCCAGGAGATGGAGGTTGCAGTGAGTTGAGATGGTACCACTGCACTCCAGCCTGGGTGACAAAGCGAGAGCCTGTCTCAAATAACAACAACAATAATAATTGCTTCCAGTGGATTTATCTTTGTTCCAAACAGAGTTTTGAATTTTTTTTTAAGATTGAGACTTTGTGTAATATTGAGTAGAGACTTACTAAATGTTTCTAGATGGTTACATCTCAGGTATATCACACTATAATTCAGTGTGACTTCAGTCCATTCTTAACCTTAAGGAAGCTTGATTTTCAGTGACCAGGAAATGAAAATGACATAGGCTAATAAGTATAAAAATCTCCTTGTCAGCTGTGTGACTTCAGTATAAATTAAAACCTCACTGCTTCTTTGCCCAATGTTATTGGATCAATGGAAAGGAAAAGCGGCATCCAAGAGAATGAGCTCCTGCTTCATAAGCATAACCGTGCAAAGAAGAAAAATCTGTCATCATTCTAAAGATATCAATGTAATGGATAAACCAGTATTTTTAAAGTCATCCATGTAAAGGGCTAGTTTCCCCGGCCTCTTTCCAATCCATTCTGGATTAATGTTTTTGTAAAATACTTTAAAAATGAATTAATAGGGAACTGGAATAAAACAGAGAAATACAAAATATAAATCCTCCTTTTTTTACTCTCAGATTCAACAGACAAAGTTACACTGCCAAATTGCTGTGACTGCTTGTTCTAAATTTATAACTGACTTTGTCTCTGACTTGTAACACATAATTTGTGGGGCAACACTATTCCACAGACCCACACTTTAAGAAGTACTGGTATAAATCATAATCTTATCTTGGGAACAGTTGCTTACTAAATATCAAAACAAATCATAATCATTTTGTGGGGGAACTCTTCTGCTGGCCGGATAAATACACTTAAGGAAGAAAAGACTGGAGTACCCAATTCTCTTTGTTTTTCTTTTATGTTTTTTTTTTAAATCACTTTTGTTTTACATAAGTAATCTTTTTTTTAAAAAAATATTACTTTCTTAATAGTATTCAAACCTTGGGAACATAGTTCTTGCAGATAATTTTTCATATTTCCTTGTTTCTGATATTCTTAATAAGTAATCTCTATTAGATCCTGTGTTTTCATTTTATTATGTGTTATAGGACTGTACATAAATCTTATTTTATATTAAGTGCTTCCTAAGGCTTTCAAGAGTCAGTTACTTCAAAAGAGGCCTTTCTAACCATCAGTAACAAGTGGTTTCCTTTGAATAATAACCATTATGTTCTTTGAAGTTAATGCCAAACTTAATTTAAAAAAAAATGATAATAAACTTGTATAAATTCAACAAAGAAAAAGGGAGAATGAAATAAATTTTATTAACAAATCCCTCAAGTTTGTTTAGCAATCATTTCTCCAACATAGATGCATACCTATAAATGATCAAACAATAACAGTAGTCTTAACATTGCCATCTGGTGGGAATGTCAGCGCAGTGATGTGATACATACTAGAGGTAACATGATGAATTTGTAGTAGCTAAAATCATTTAAGCGAAAAACTTGTTTTTCACTATATAATTACCAGTTTGATCAACTTTTCTTTTAAAAAATTCTGAACTAAAGGAGAAGAAAAGTAAGAAAAATTTACTCTTACTTTGAGGTATTAGAGAGACTTTTATATATTTTCTCTCAAACATGATTTTATCCCTATGAGATTGAGAGAGAATTTTTCTTCATATTTTACCTACAGGGGCACAAAGCTCATACAGATTATTTTACTTTCTTAGGTGCTAAGGAAGATGTGAACAGGGCAGGAAAACAGCTAAGAGTAATCCTTGTGTGTTATTTCTCCTTATGTATAGTCAAAGTTAAAAATTTACTATAACAGGGACTTTAATATTTTCTACAAATGTTGACTGTCTAAGTGGAATGTAAGACATGCAGTTTGTAACTTTAAACAGTTAAAATTGTAGTGGTAACTTCTTGTTTCACTATTATTAGACCATGAACAAAATTGCACATTTGACTTTCATTGCCCTCATCAACATGCAGTATTTCAACGGCCATTAAAAAGACCAAATTTATTGGAATATATAAATAATGAACGTACCGCATTTGAAGAAGTTTTAGTTGTCATTAAAGATGGACAAAAGCGAGTACAAGGTACAAAGGAATCAGGGACATGGCAAGGCTGAAAACATCAATAATATCCCTGAGTTTGTGTCCTTAGAAGTCCATCAAAAGCATTCATCTTTTTATCCTACTGAATATACAATTATATGAGCCTTGCTATGAAGAGATTAAAAATAAATATACATGGCATTTAGGTAGAAAGTTAGCAAGCAAAAACCAATTTTCTAAAAAAAAACTCATTACCTTTTAATAGATAGAAAAACAAGAAGAATGGTAAATTGCTGTTTGCTTTCTTCTCATGCTTCGAGCAGGAGCAGGAACAAGGCCTTTCAATGACTGGGAAATGTCAATTGATCAATAGAAGATGAATAGAAAACAACATAAAAGCATATCATAATAACATGAATTCCAGATAAGCCTCTGGTGAGGCTTTTAAACATATTGCAATATGTTGGGAATTTCCAATTTGCTAATATTTTCCCTAGTTTATGTATTTTCTTTTATAATACCACATCAATAGTGTTTCAATTTTGGTTTATGAAGGAAGCCAAAAATAATATAAATCGGGGTGAGTACAACTGACCTTTATCATCCCTTGAGAGACATGATGGGAACACTCTTGTGGCAACACTAAGTCATGTTTGTGCTCTTCACATGAAGATGAAGATTACATCAGCGAGTATTGGGTATTTTTCTTTCTACTAATGCTCTTTACAGTCTTATGCTGAAAGATTTTGGGAGGAAACAGGCTATTGCCACTGGTACAGATCTTCATTTTAAAGACCATCTTTTCACTGCTTTAGAACACTGAGCAGGTCTAGATGAACTTTAAAGGATATTTCTAACTTTGATTCTAAAAGTAAAAGTTATAAATCATTTTTTTCTGTTGAAGTGTACAAAAAACTACAAATCACATCCAAACATTATTTAATCCCTCAGAATGACTCAGTGTAAGCATCTATTTCTTGAAGATGAATATGAAAGTTTTGCTTGAAACTTTTGCATAATCACATATTTTGAAAACTAAAGAAGCTATTTTCACAAAACAAAAGAAGTATGCTAAGCATGAATGGTTAATAATTTTTTTTTCATATAGCATATTATTTTTAATGGCCTGTTTACAATTTCCTACGTGATATATGACATTCTGAATTGTATCATTTAAATGTATAATTTAAGGTTGTATGGAGGAACGAAAAAGAACAATATTGAATATTGCTCAATTTTCTACCAAAATTGAGACTGGAGGGAAATGTTGACTACAGTTTATTTTTAGCTGCTGTTTAACATGTGAGAAACAGAGCTCATTACCTAGCATATATGGCTTCATTTAATCAATCTCTACTTTTGGAGACAGGCAACACTGAAGTAGAAAGAATGCTAGGAAAAGTTAATAAGAAAATCTGAGTTCCAGTTTGTATGCAGAAGTTGAATGGAGTTAGTAGGCTTCAAGAAATAGTAAAGCCGTTTTATCAAGTAGGTCACCTAGGTGAACATGGAAAGTACTCAGGATGATGGAATCCTTGGAGACTAGTTTATGGTCTCTACTTCCAAGTTGCATGATACCATGTAAATGAGAGAAATTATGAAATATGATTCACATTTGTCAATAAAGAGTCCAGGAAACCTATAAATGGTAGTAAAAGGGAAAGTGGAAATGTATGTATTTTCAGTCAGTGCAATGGAAATACTTGGAAATGAGTAACTGAGTCAAGGACATGAAAAGTAAGAATACCATGATAAGAGGGGCACTGAGATAACCAGACACAATCCTGAAAAATGGAAATGTGGAAATGATTTTCAGCTGGGACTGCTGAAAAGTACCTATGCTGCAGGTGTCCACAGAACTGTTCAATGCTTGAGGACAGCATTGGTGTAAGGTTGCTGAGGCTAGTAGAAATTTAGCTCAGTCATCTTTGCACGGGGTATGGCCCTGTACAAGTTGAGATCTGCATGGAGTCTAAGGTGCAGTGAAAAATGTAGCCTGTGACTGGGTTGCAAAGTGATGACAATTGCATAGGCTGGATCTTGAAAGAATCTGAGAGCTCTAGCAGCTGGTATTTTGCTCTGTTCAGATAAAAGCAATGATGGTCTTTGACAGCTTCCTTTGATTATAATGGTATTTATTGAAACTCCTACACATTAAGCACTAGGCTAGTTGGTTTTTTTTTTTTTTTTTGGAAAAACCTGACATTTTACATTTGTTAGTTTATCAGTTTTTATAATTGATGGTCACATTTTTACATTTTACTTTTGTTCACCAATTTTTAACAATTTACATTTGTTCATCAATTTCAACAAATCTAATGTTCATATTATTGCTGTTTTGCAAATGAAAAAACTTAGGCTAATAATGGTAAAATTAAAATTCTAATCTCAGTCTTTCTATTTCAAAGCCTGAACTTTACATCTCTACATTATATTATTTGCCTAAAATTCTCTAAAAGTAAGCTATGAATTAATTTTTCTATTAAACTACAAATCACATCCAGACACATTATTTAATCTCTCAGAATGTGAGCTTTTGTTAATATTTGTGATACCTATACATTTTAATTATATTATACCTAAAACACTTAGGGTTAACACCTGATTGCAGTCTTATATTTTCCCATTTATCCCAGAGAGCAGAACATTTAACCTAAGTGGGGGAAACATGTCATATACACTTCAGCAAAAAACAAAACTTTACTTGTATATAGAAAAGATCTATTAAACAGTGGTCACAGTGCTTTATAAGTCTTTTTAAAAATTAGAGCTATTAATGATAAATCCAATTATCTATTCCTAGTTGAAAAGGAAACTCAGAGTTAAAACTAGTAATAGAAAAAAGAATGAAGAAACAAAACTGAAGTGCAATTTCCTCATCACTCTCTCCAGGAGAAAACCATCTAACACTCACAGAAATATCTTCTTTTGTTGAAATACCACAAGGGACTTTTTTTTTCAATTTATAGGCCAATCAACTTTAAGTATACCTAACAGCACCTTGTAAAATCTAAGCAGTTTGAACAGCAGGCCCTGTCCTGATGTGATCGGTTTTCTGAGTCATTCCTTCTTTAAAAGACTGAATTGATCCTTTTCTATCTTGACTCTGGTAAAAAATATGAGTTTTTTTGGGTCAAATGACAAGTAGTCTGCCTACTAAACTACTTTCCTTGATTTTTGAGGACAGAGTGAGTTTTCCTCTCTGTCTTTTAGGCAGAAGCTTGAAAAGTAAATTGAAATATTTTTTTCCAGAATGACTCATACCAAAACCTTTAAAGATAGCCATTAAATTTTATTGTACTGGTAGTCCTGCCATGAAATAGATTTGTATTTGATTGCTCTCTACCTTCATGTTAATACATAATATTAAGACTGAGCACTCATACAGAAAAAATTTCCAAAGTGAGAGGCCATTAAACTTCTTGACCAGTTTTTAACATTTATTTTTACTCATTTTTAGTGGATTTTATCTTCTTAGTCAATGAATTATAACTATTGAATAAATTGGATAGTGTCCCTGAATACAAAATACATAATGCTGGGGACTCAAAGAGAAATTATAGCAGTGGTTTATTGTTATTTTTCTCCCACTGTTGAAGTAATAGTCCCACTAGAGTTCTTAGTACTATGTGGTATAGCTCTCAAACTATTTCTGTGTACAAAATCTTTAGTTTCTGATTATTTTTTATTGATCAGTGAAGGGAGAAATTTCATAAAAGAAAATAATTCCTGAACTATAAATTAAATTAGAAATTTAGTTGTGGAAGGTACTGGAGGAAGAATGAAAGGCTAATAAATGCTTTTGGATTTTAATGCATTTGTAGATAAGCAATGCTATTCGTTAACGTTATTCTTAAAAGAAACATGCAGAAAACTAATCTAGCTCCCAATTATTGTATTAGATTTTTTAAAAACCATGAAAAAGTTATCGCTATGGCTTTTATCTCTTTTCTCTCATCTTATACCTCTGGTGTATTTAGTAGTTCTCATGGAGATAGGTGAAAATGGTGAGAGAAATTTTTTAAAAATTGTACTTAAAGATGTGGTGACAAAGCAACTTTGTGGTGAGTTCCATGTGTGCCATTATCCCCTTTTTTCTTTTTTTTCAAATCTGCTTATATCATTCTAGTTAAAGTATATGCCTCATGAGCACTGAGTGTGAAAAAAATTCGAAGTAGCAAATTCAGAGGGTAACCAAAGTAGGGTGGGGTATTACGTGCTATATTGCAGAAAGAGGCAGCCTTCATATTTGTTCACCTCATCACTGGTGAAGACGACTTTTTGCATAATGACATAACAAGGTTTTGTTATGAGAGGCAATCTCTTTTAGTCAAAAATAGACACTTACATGTGCTCCACACTGAAGAAGGGAGCCTTCCCAGAACAGAGTGAGAATCAGATTGTTGCCGGGCTCAAGCAAAGAAGTTTAGGAATTTCACAGTACAGGATGCTACAGGAGCTAAAGCAGAATGAAGCCTGGGAGCTGAAAGAGAGGAGATAGAGAAGAAAGTAGAAAGAGAGACAGACCAAGTAAGAAATAATTTTCAGTTTTCCATCTAAGATGTTACTGAATGGACAGGAAGTTGACCGAAGAGAAAGTAAAGTAACATGTTCTCCTATGAGTTGCTGAATTATAAATGTGTTATGATCAGCTCTCACTGCTCTTCAATACATTTTAGCATCTGCATTGTATAACTATTATTTTATGTTTATATGACATAGATTATATGAAGCATTCTGTATTGTTAAAATAATTAATTGGAAGGCCATTAGGCTGAGATGGCTCCAGTCATTTAGGTTCCTACTTAAGCAAACAAAAACTGAATTCAGTGTAAACAGTAAAATGAAACTTGAGCTTAACCAATCAGAAATTGCTAACTAACTTTTAACTAAGGACTTTGTTCTTTAGCCAATCAAATACGTTCTTTGTCTTGCGTCTGTAAATACCTTATAATGTTTCCCCTCTTTTCTTCTTGGTGGAGTGATGAGTTACTTGCAGTCTGATGCTGCCCAATTCATGAACTGCTGAATGCTCGAATTTGTTAAACTAGTAATGTGCCCAGCAGTATTAAAGATCAAAATGTGATCTATTGGGACCTGAAGGTACAATGTTCAATTCATAGCATTTTGTGTTTCTAACATAAGCTTTGTTGATCTCTGCATTTTATTTTCTCTGACAGAGCTGTGTTGAAGTTCTGTTCTGATTCTTCCACTTCCATCTGCGCCAGCAGATCCTCAGTGCTAGCACCCAGGTGAACTTTTCCTTTGGCCCCAGCAACTGACAGCTGAATTCTGTGGTTTAGGGCTTGTAACATTCCTGTGGGTGAACATTTGCTATTCTGAGCTCTTTGGTTTCTCTTCAGGTAACATATCTGTGGACAATACTCACGGTGAGGATGACCCAGGGCCTGTTGTGGCCTTGGAGAAGGAGACCCTAAGAGAGAGTGTGTTCTTTGAAGCCCTATCACTAAAATCATGTAAATGAGGATGACATTTGAATGGTACTGAATGAGATACAAGAAAAAGGAGTTTAGATAAAGCCTCTATCATTCAACTTCTTTTGTCCCGTAAGGCATAAACTTATTTTATGCACTGCTCTGTACAATTCTTTTACTGTTTTAAGACTATTTTAATTGTAAAGGGGGTATCATAGGTTGAGTTAAAATTTGCTCATCGTTAATTCAGCCCAGTTGGCTTTTGATACCCCAGAACCAACATGACGGAGCTGGCTCCCCAAAAGAACACAATTTCTAAACCTCTCATCTAATCACTTGAGTTTGAGATCCAAAGCTTTCATTGGAAAGTTACTTTAAACCCTCAAAGACCAGATACTGCCAATGTCAATAAAACATGCAGAACAAAATAAAAGCACCATTTTTTTTATGACTAAGAAATTGGCCTGCATCCTGAATTTG